AATTATAATATCTACTCACAAATCAATATCATATATTTCTTATAAATCTTACATTCTATATATTATATTTTTTACAACTTATACCTTACGTTTTATGTTTACTCTCAATCCAGGAATACCATCTATTCCAAATTTGGTAGTACTCGGTTTCTTCCCTCTCCTTCATTTCCATAGACAGTCTATCCATTTCTGCATATTCATAAATTTTCCTTATTATCACGTGGTCTGGAGGAGTGTCAGTCTGTTTCCAATTCTGTGCTAAAGCGATTCTACTTGCTGTTAATATATGTAACGTTATGTATTGTAATTTTTTCCCCATTTTCCCATCAAAAATATACTTGATTTTCATAAGTGGATTACTTTTTCATAAAACAGAGAAGACAGAAAGTTTTGAAAGGGCCAGGATCTCTGAAGGCTATTCCAAGGCTGCTAGCATTGTGTTTTGTGTAAGAATGGCTTAAATGATGCATTTGGAAGTCACTATTTGCCTCTCTTCAGAATAGGCACTAACACAGTGGGAGTGTCTCCAGATGGAAGGAATGTGCTTGGTATTGATGTGGTGAATGGGCGCATTGTCAGGCTGAGTTACCCTGGCTCACAAAGAATTCCTGTCTGTAACCCCCCTGATGACATTTTGCCAGAAATAAGCCATCAACTTATTGCCAACACAAATAAAAGCTGGGATTCCTTGGTAAGCACAAAGCTTCTGTGTGCTCATTTCCGGGCTGTGTGAACCCTTCTGAGAAAGGATAGATGGATGGTTCAGCTTCTGGTTATTCCTTCACACAGCTTAAAATGACAGATCTTCCACACTCTTAACATGGAAAATCAACAAGAGACCATTTCTAATAAAGTTTGAATTCTTTATCAATGACATCTGTTCTTCATATATTCAGAAGTTGACATTTATGGCTTTCCATGAGAGCAAAAAAATGAATATTTTATTCATTTTACATTTGACCTTTCAGACATCACTTTTCCTACATGGATCCAATCCCCCAAAAGTAAAAACAAAATGAAAGATTTTATGTAATCCAAAGCAAATTGTCTTGTACTCTGTCAAAAAAAAAAAAAAGGCTTTAGCATCATGGAGAAAAAGAAGTCAATGCATTAATACTCTGTGTTGGGACCATGGGCCAGCAGACCTAAACATTTGCAACTGGGTTTCAACATTATGACAATATCTTAAAACATCAAATGATCTTGAAAGAGATTGTTGTATCCTCTGTATTTTTAATAAATTTTAAAATACTTAACATTTTCTGCAAATGCATGCAACAGAACCTCAAACTTAATAAAAGCAAATAGGCAGTCCCCAAAATTGCTTTTAAAAGCAGGACTGAATACTCTTAAGTGTAACATTTTTCTAGGAGCAATTCCAGAATTTATATTTCCAATATTTATGTGTGATGGTGATTTACATTTTAATTCTAAGGCTATAAGAATCTTTTTACACTTTGAAAGCACTCTTATGCTTGTTGATATGAGTAGTATTCAACTCTTAGTGACCATATTGATTGACACCCCCCCCCCCAGGATGATCCATTCTCAACTTGACTTTCAGATTATCCAGTAGTGCACCTATCCCTGCTGTAATTGCTATAATTGAGTTCATCCATTTTGTTGCTAAATCTTTCTTCCTTTTCTCCTTTCTCATCATTACAGATTTCTCCTGAGAGCTAGAATAGAGCAGAGCAGAACAGATCTTTATTCCGGTGACTGACCAATAACAGTCAATAACATGAACAACACAAAAATATTATGTTGTGTTGTGTGGTTGAACTATTATAACCGTACTCTGATTTCTTCTCAGATCATATTAATCTTTTGCTTTTTACTAAAGATTTTCAGAAAGCCAGTTTGTGTCCAACATACAATATTTAAGTCTGGGCATTTTATGTCTCAAATGAAAATTCTGAGTCAATATTCTTTTTACTCTGCTTCTACAATGTTCAGCTTTTGCTTCCAAAAGTATCATGAAGAAAACACAATTTTCTCCAATTGCCTGCACCATTCTGATCTTTGTAGATATAGACACCCAGCATGTGAATAACTTTTCCAAGACCTTAATGGCAACTTTATCAATCTGTGGTGTATTTCTTGATTGCTGGTTCTTAAAAGGCAGAAACTGTCTTCAATATCTTCATTGTCAGTTCCAAGTCTGGTTGCTGTAACAATTGTCATGAGTTTGATCTTATTTATATTTAACCTTAGTCCCATTATATTTATTTATTTATTTATTTATTTATTAGATTTTTATACCGCCCCCTCTCCCGAAGGATTCGGGGCGGTGCACAGCCAAAGTTAAAAACATACAATATAAACAATTAAAATACGTTTAAAACAGAATTAAATCTAAAATGGCTCCCCAATTTAAAATGCCTTACCCATACCCCTATAAAAAGACGAATTTAAAATTTAAAAATTTAAAATTTCCACATTTAAAAAGGGGGAAGATTTAGGCCAGGCCAGCTTGATAAAATAGAAAAGTCTTAAGTGCGCGGCGGAAGGTGCGCAGATCCGGGATCCTACGTATCTCCGGGGGGAGCTCGTTCCAAATCGTAGGTGCCCCCACAGAGAAGGCTCTCCCCCTAGGGGCCGACAGCCGACATTGTTTGGCCGACGGCACCCGGAGGAGCCCCTCTCTATGGGAGCGTACTGGCCGGTGGGAGGCTATTGGTGGTAGCAGGCGGTCCCGTAAATAACCAGGTCCTGAGCCATGGAGCGCTTTAAAGGTGATAACCAGAACCTTGAAGCGCACTCAGAAGACCACCGGGAGCCAGTGCAGCTCGCGCAGGAGAGGTGTCACATGGGAACTCCATGTCGCTCCCATCACCACCTGCGCGGCCGCACTCTGCGCCAGTTGGAGCCTCCGAGTGCACCTCAAGGGGAGCCCCATGTAGAGAGCATTACAGTAATCCAGACGAGAAGTAACGAGGGCATGAGTGACTGTGTGTAGGGAGTCCCGATCTAGATAGGGACGCAACTGGCGGATCAGGCGAACCTGATGAAAAATCCTCCCGGACACGGCCGTCACATGCTCTTCTAACGACAGCCGTGAATCCAGGAGGACGCCCAAGTTGCGAGCCCTATCCGTGGGGGCCAATGATTCGCCCCCAATAGTCAGCGATGGCATTAGCTGACTATATCGGGACGTCGGAAACCACAGCCACTCGGTCTTGGATGGGTTGAGCCTGAGCCTGTTCCTCCCCATCCAGATCCGTACGGCCTCCAGGCACCGGGACATCACTTCAAGGGCATCGTTGGGGTGATCCGGGGTGGAGATGTACAGCTGGGTGTCGTCAGCGTACTGATGGTACTCCACCCCAAAACCACGGATGATCTCGCCCAGCGGCTTTACATAAATGTTGAACAAAAGGGGCGAGAGGACCGATCCCTGCGGCACCCCACATATGAGGGGCCTCGGGGTCGACCTCTGCCCCCCTGTCAACACAGACTGCGACTGGTCGGAGAGAAAGGAGGAGAACCACCTTAGTACGGTGCCTCCCACCCCCAACTCTTCCAACCGGTGCAGCATGATACCATGGTCGATGGTATCAAAAACCGCTGAGAGATCTAACAGGACCAGGACAGAGGAACAGCCCCTGTCCCGAGCCCTCCAGAGATCATCAACCAACGTGACCAATGCCGTTTCCGTGCTGTATCCAGGCCTGAAACCCGACTGGAACGGATCCAGATACGACGCTTCATCCAGGTACTGGGGAAGCTGTCCCGCAACCACACTCTCAACAACCTTCGCCACAAAACGAAGGTTGGAGACTGGACGATAATTAGCCAATATTGCCGGGTCCAGGGAAGGCTTCTTGAGGAGGGGCCTCACCACCGCCTCCTTAAGGGCGGCGGGGAAGACACCCTCACCCAATGAAGCATTTATAATCCCCTGGAGCCAGCCTCGCGTCACCTCCCGGGAAGCCAGCACTAACCAGGAGGGACACGGGTCCAACAAACATGTGGTCGCGTTCAATCTACCCAGAATCCTGTCCACGTCATCTGGGGTCACAGGATCAAACTCATCCCAGATAACAGTCTCAAGACCTGCCTCCGTCACTCTCGCTGGATCTACCCAGTCAGAGTCCAGACCTTCCCGAATCTGAGTGATTTTGTCATACAGATACTGAACAAAGTCCTCGGCTCTTCCCTCCAAGGGGTCCTCCCGCGCTTCCTGATGGAGCAGGGAGCGGGTCACCCTAAACAGGGCGGCCGGGCGATTATCTGATGACGCAATAAGAGCAGCAAAATGCGTACATTTTGCTGCTTTTATCGCCACTAGGTAAGTCCTAATATGGGATCTAACCAGTGTCCGGTCCGATTCAGAAAGACTAGCTCTCCAACTACTCTCTAGGCGTCTTTTCCGGCGCTTCATCTCCCTCAGCTCCTCGGTAAACCAAGGAGCAAGGCGAGATCCGCGCCGGGTCAGAGGCCGCAAAGGCACGACTCGATCCAGGGCCCCAGCGGCCGCCCTATCCCAGGCGGCCACTAGGTCTCCAGTCGAGGCGTGAGCCAGAACCTCAGGAATTGGCCCAAGCTCCGTCTGGAACCTATCAGGTTCCATCAGGCGCCTGGGGCGGTACCATCTTATCGGTTCCGCCTCCCTGCAGCGGGGTGCCGCGGTACGAAGGTCAAGGCGAAGGAGAGAGTGATCCGACCATGACAAGGGCTCGATGACTACATCCCCTATCTCAAGATCACTCAACCACTGTCCAGAGACAAAAAGCAAGTCCAGTGTGTTTCCCCCAGTGTGCGTAGGGCCATGAATTAGTTGGGTCAGATCCATGGCCGTCATGGAAGCCATGAACTCCTGAGCCACCTCAGACGTCTCGCCCACGGACGGCAGGTTGAAATCCCCCATGACCATAAGTCTGGGGGATATCACTGTGCACTTAGGCTTTCATTATAGGGAATGTAGAATTATCAATATAAACTGTACTAACATGAAATTTACTCCATTGTTGATCTCACCCTTGTCTCTATTATATCAGCTATAACATACTACTGAATGGTGGTGGCCTGATTTTGCACATCCAGCATGTGATAAGCAAATTGATTGTGGGCTTTACGGACATTCCTATTCTTCACATCAGCCAATGTGAAAAGCATCTGCCAATCACAGAACTGCATCAGGAATGGGTGAGTCATCTCTGGGATTCTTCCATTACTCTTCTCCAAGAGGAATATTTTTCTGAGTCAGAAAGGAACTCAGAGAAGAATGGCGATTAGGATTTCTCTTCTTTCTTCTATTAAACAGGCAATAACTGCCAACTTCCACATTCTTTTCAGCTCTTTTTGGCAAAGAGAGGGTTCGTTTCCATCATTTCATTGTTTCAGTAGTTCAGTCTTCCACCAAATTGGTAAGGGCCATTGAATTAAAGTATATACTGTACAGCAGACTTCCCCAACCTTTTCGGCTTTGTGGACTGGTGGTGGTGGTGAGAATGGTTCCATGCACAGCAGGTAAGTGTGTGCATGCGATTCCATTTAGGCGCCCGCTCACCCACCGCTTGCACAAATGGAGCGTGGGTTCACATGCTCACTTGCGTGAGAGGGGAGGTGCCTGCAAACAAGCACATACCACTTTCGTGGCCCGGTTTTAACAGGCTCAAGGCTCCACAGTGGGCCGCAGGCTGGGAGTTGGAGATCCCTGCTATACAGTAGTGCTTTCTAAGTAGACTAGTAATTCTGATAGGCACTTTGGTGTCCTTCTTTTTAAGGGGATCTCAATAGACTGGTGGCAGACAAGACTTACTGGCAACTGAAGGTGAGGAGGCAGGGCAACAATAGATAAAATTGCCAATGAGCATTGCTCTGATCCCATATGCCCCTGATCAATTGGCTTCATGTTGATATAAATGGGTGGCAAATGATAACAGGTTTTATATAACATTTATTTATTTGTTTGTTTATAACTATCAAAAATTAGTGTTTATTCCTCTTTTCTCTCATGAGGATCTTGTTAAAAAAAAAAAAGCAAATTGTCAATACTAGTTTAAAAGGAAAAACACTTCTTTAATAGCAGACTAGCCCAAAACTTTTCCACTTGTATGTTGGAGGTGAAACCAGGACAACATCATGGTGACATGTAGAAAAAGATGTTGCCGGTTGTAGATTGATAGGGAAATGAGCTTGGAGAAAGAATCCCCATTCCATTATAGAAACAGCAGGTGCAGAACTTACTTACTTACTTACTTACTTTATTTGATTTATATACCGCCCTACTCCCGAAGGACTCAGGGCGGTGAACAGCCAAACAGTAAAAATACATAGATACAAAATTTAAAAACAAAGTAGAATCGAATTAAACAATTTGGCCCAGACAGATTAAAACACCCCAATCATTTAAAAACCGATTAAAATTTGCATAATTAAAAAGAGGGAAAAGATTAGGCCAGGCCCGCCTGGTGGAATAAAAAGGTCTTAAGAGCGCGGCGGAAGGTGCGCAGATCCGGGATCCTCCGTATCTCCGAGGGGAGCTCGTTCCAGATAGTAGGTGCCCCCACAGAGAAGGCCTTCCCTCTAGGGGCCGCCAGTCGACATTGTTTGGCTGACGGCACCCGGAGGAGCCCCTCTCTATGAGAGCGTACTGGCCAGTGGGAGGCTATTGGTGGTAGTAGGCGGTCCCGTAGATAACCAGGTCCTAAGCCATGGAGCGCTCTAAAGGTGGTAACCAAAACCTTGAAGCGCACCCGGAAGACCACCGGGAGCCAGTGCAGCTCGCACAGGAGAGGTGTTACATGGGAACGCCATGTCACTCCCATTACCACCCGCGCGGCCGCACTCTGTGCCAGTTGGAGCCTCTGGATGCTCCTCAAGTGGAGTCCCATGTAGAGAGCGTTACAATAGTCCAGGCGGGAGGTGACGAGGGCATGAGTGACCATGCGTAGGGAGTCCCGATCCAGAAAGGGACGCAACTGGCGAATCAGGCGAACCTGATGAAAAATCCTCCCGGTCACAGCCGTCAAATACTCTTCTAAAGACAGCCGTGAATCCAGGAGGACGCCCAAGTTGCGAGCCCTCTCCGTGGGGGCCAATGATTCGCCCCCAATAGTCAGTGATGGCGCCAACTGACTATATCGGGACGTCAGAAACCACAGCCACTCGGTCTTGGATGGGTTGAGCCTGAGCCTATTCCTTCCCATCCAGATCCTGGCACGGCCTCCAGGCATCGGGACATCACTTCAGGGGCATCGTTGGGGTGAAGAAACATAGAGAAGTTTCAAAGACTCCCCCACCCCTGAAATCTCTGGAATATAAGAAGGAGCAAAGGAAAAACACCTTTACTGAGATATAGCCCATCTCAGTATAGTTCTAATCTTCCTGTAGAGCCTGCTTCCTGAGCTGGTCTACTGTGAAGGGCCGACATCAGCACACATTGTATGATTATTTAGTGCAAGTGGTTAAAGGCCCAGAAAGGCGTTAAATTTTACTAAGGACACTGCTTAGTGGGGAGAAGAAACAAGCAAATATATGTATATTCCCTATATGTGGAAATATACCTTTTTTCCTTCACCATATTGTTTCTGTGTTCATCTTATTGTCTTTCAATTGTCAAGAGTTTTCAATATCCATAAAGTGATTGTGTTTTCTGAACAATACAAATTCTAGGAATTAGTGTATCTCAGCAAAATATTTGTTGAAATCTTATAAATAAATACTTTTCTGTTTTTTCTAAGAACATTTGAAATCTTAGGGATTAACATTATCTTTCAACTGTGTTTTGAATAAAAGTTTAAGAATGAGTACTTAATAAATGATCTAGTCTTAAATAGAATAGATTACAGAAAGAAGAGAATTATGTTGTAATTATAAAATAAGAAATAAATGCATAATAGTATTTATAACTGCTGCAAAGATCAGAAGCTACTTTGTATCTTTTTCTTTCTTTTCTATTTTCTTCTTGTACTTTTAGCTTTCCCTTTGATTTCTTCTTTTCTTTTTCTCACTTTATATTAGTTTGCATTAGCTTTTATCATCTTTTTTAACAATGTTAAAAATTATATAAATAAATAAATAAATATTCTAGGCTTTGTTGCAAGTGTTTATTCCCATTCACATATAAAATAATAAAAAGCAACATTAAAAGATCAATAAATAATATGTATTGTACCAAATTCTACATACATTTCCCCCTTAAACATTAACACACACACACATACGTACACATACACACCATAAATTGGTTGGAGGTTGGGGGACAGAGGAAACAAATATTTTACAGTACCAATAAAATATGAGTCCCAGTGGTACGAAGAAAGGCCTAAATCAGTCACAGCCAGCCCAAATCCTAAAATATTATCTCAGTTGAAGAAGTTAAAAAAATAAGTTTACAATATGCCACGCTGCTTAGGATAAAGAGGCTTGGAAAGATAGCGGTAGAAGGAAAACATGGGCAACTTTATTTCTTGAACTTTATTAATTAATTGATTTTAAAAGCAAACAACAGAAACATTTCATATTCTTTTTTCTTTTTTTTAAATTTTGATTTATATGCCGCCCTTCTCCGGAGACTCAGGGCGGCTTACAATGCGCTAAGCAATAGCCTTCATTCTTTTGTATATTTATACAAAGTCAGCTTATTGCCCCCACAACTGGGTCCTCAATTTACCTACCTTAGAAAGGATGGAAGGCTGAATCAACCTTGAGCCTTGGCGAGATTCGAACCTGCAGTAATTGCAGGCAGCTGGTCTTAATAACCAGCTTAATAACAGGGTGCCTTAGACCACTGTACTACCAAGGCTCTTTATATTCTTAAAACAATTAGTTAATTACAATTAGATAAAAAGAGTTAGATAAAACAAACTTCAGGAAATTATTTACTCTAGTAAAATATGTGTTAATACCCTATAAATCAAAGTGGATTTTCTTCTCTGCTGATGAGTTTCAATGGAGGTAGATAGAAGATTTAAAATCCCCCATCTAAGCGAAGGAGGCCAAACCATAATCCTTATCCCATTGGATTGCTAAATTCATTAACCATGATTAAATAGTATTTCATTCCTCATCTTAAAAGGTCCATTAAGTGGCTATTGTCATTACAGTATATTTCTATATTAACTTTGGAACATTAATGTTCTTTGATCTCTATCCTAACACTTGGGAGTCTGAATTCTGTTTTCTTATCTCTCTCCCTTTACTAGAATTTCTAACATAAATGCAGTTGTTATATTCTATTGTACAAGATCTTGAACTTTGATATTTTGAGCTTTAGTGATGTCAGAGAAGTTGGCATCAAAGTGGGAAAGGGAAATAATTTTCCCCACCTTTAAGCTAGAACTGCTACAAAGATTCAAATATGCATGGAGTATATTAACATGAAATTAACCTGGGAATAGTAAACTGGAAACTTCATGAAAGTAACAAATGTCTAAATATGGCTCAAAAACATTGTATTTATGGAATAAACATCAATTGCTAAACGACATTTTGACAAAATTCCAACCATTTCAAACTGCTGGCAACAGTATAGTGAAGTCTAAGCCAGGAAAAAGGCCAGAAATAATTTGTTTTGGAATTTTAGATCTCCAGCTGCATTGATCCCGGAATAGATATGCAGAAACCCAAAATAAAGCAGAGGCAGAGGGGATTGTGCAGCTGGGCTGTGATCTTGCCTCTATTAAGTGGTGAGTGACAGTAAATGCCTGTAGTGCTAGACTTCAGAAAGAATGGAATTGCTTTTGACTGTTTTTCAACCTTGGCAACTTTCAGATGTGTGGACTTCAACTCCCAGAATTACTCAGCATGATGACTTGAGGAATCCTGAGAGTCAAAGTCCACATACCTGAACATTGTAAGTTTGAGAAATGCTGTTTTAGACCCTCTCATACTTTGTATAGCACAGCCCAATTAGACTTGAGTCTAAATTGAAAGTTAATAATAAAAAATATCTATGGAAAAGGTGTTCCTGTGTGGGACATGTTGCAACATTCTGAATTGTATTGCTTCTAATCCTGTTTTTTCTTCTGTTGTAATTGCAGGTATCATGCTGAGAAAATATTGTCACCTGAAATACATTGTTATTGGATTATTGTTGGTGGTGGCTCTTATTACTCTAATCACTGTGGCTATCACACAGAATTTATCTTCCACCAGGAACCGTAAAGTAAGTTACAGAAAACTTCCCTGCTGAACTGCTGTACTTCTAATCCCATTAGACACAAATGAGGAGCCCACGTGAAGACTAAAGTCAGATGTGCGTTAATGCATTCACTATTGCATGCTTCTTTTTGTTAGAGGCTCCAGGCAACAATAATATCTCCCTTTCTCTTCCAAAAGAATCCCGGAAGGATTGTCCACAACACAAAGAATGCTCTCATTTTAAAGTCCAGTATATCTTATCCCCTGCTCACAAGTAACAGTTTTAGGCTGTAGCCTTCCTTAATTGTACCACTTTACATTCCATTTTGTTCTGGCAATTTCCAGTTTCCCTTTTATTCTAACAATTTCCAAAGCAACCTTATGGTGTATAAAATCTGCTAGTAAGTACAATTTAATGGTGGAACTAGTTACCAAGTTGGGTGGTGAACTTTTCTACACTGAAGGTCTTCTCACCAAGGCTTATAATCATTTGTCAGGAAAATTTGTCCAGAGTATGGGGTTGGGTTCAATAATATAAATGTCCCCCTGAAAATGTGATTCTGTTTGTAAGAAAAATCCTCTCTGTGACACTGTTCGCAAAGGTACATTTTATCTTCATCTCCCAGTACAGTACCCTGAAATTTAAAAAGCAAATTTGTGAGTTTTTCTCTCCTGCAGTATGGGATTGTGTTGGATGCTGGTTCTTCCCACACGAATGTGTATGTATATGAATGGCCAGCTGAGAAAGAGAATAATACAGGAATGGTGCATCAGATTCACGTATGTGAAGTAGAAGGTAAGAAATGGGAAAATTGGCGTTTTGTAATAAATTAACCATCTCCATGGAATATTGTGAATGAGGAAAACAGATGCTGCCGAGGAACAATCAGACAAGAGAGACAGGAGCCCCCAAGGGTTTAACAGAGAAAGAAATTTAGGAAGGATTCACCCTAATTGACTATGTAGTTAAAAATGGTGGCAGGAAATTTGTACTTTCAGAATTGCAAGATTCTATTAATGTAGCCTTAAAATAAAGTGGAATTTGTTTGTCTAGTCATGTTTCCTGTCTGGTTTACTTGGGAGGGAATGTGTTTATGAAGAGGGAGGTAGTGCAATGGACTACACTGAAGGGCAGGGAGGAGGGAGCAGATTCCAGGAAGTGGGGGGAAAGACAAGAACTAGCACAGCCCAGACCTGAATCAACAATGGATAAAACATATCAGGGTTTAATATATAAAACCTGCTCAAGATTTTTTTAGTCCTTTAACACAATTTAAGAGTTAAAATTACTGAAGATAAGCAATTTAATGGGAGTAGTGTATACATGAGATAAGAGAAGGGAAGGAAAAAGCACTTGCTCTTGTAGCCCTGAACAATCTTTCACTCCTGAAAAACACATAAAAATCATAATTTTTGTTCCTTGGAGTGAATCCTAAACTGTGTCAAAGGATGCAATTTATATTCTTACACAGATTTATGGATCCATCAAATTCTTATTATGGTCATAGACCAACTTAAGGGTGGAATGCAACAATAATTTTTTAAAACCTAAAAAATAAAACAAAAATTACACAAAATAAAAAATGCATTTTAAAAAGCTAATGTATGTTTGCTTGTGTATACACAAGTTTTAAAAAATTTATAGGGAGGTGTCAAAACATTAGATAAATACAAAAAACATAAAAGTTAATATATGGCTAATTCAATCTATCATAATGCAAAACACTCAACTAATGTAAATCTCAATAAGGTTAATTTGAGGCACAGCTCATAATCTGATAAATTTTAAGAGCTACTGTGCAACTCAGCAACACTGTAACTTACTGCTATTTTCAATTAACTTGAGTCTGTGCATGTTCTGTAGATACTGAGCATTCTTAGTTTGAGCTGATCATAGTTATCCTGTCTAGGAATTACCATCTTGATTTAGTGGGAGGGCTTGATATCTTTAGTACCCTTGATAATAATACCAGCTTGGGTAAGACTTAGTAATAGGGTCAGTAACAACAGAGTAACAACACAAAAGGGAAGTAACAACACAAAAGTAACAACACAAAAGGGAAGTTAAAAGTACGTAAAAGTATTCCATAAATAGAAGTGAGGGAAATGGGGCTTTGCAAGCATGAGGGAAACCAATCCACGTAGGAGGAGAAACTCCAATATATAAAAGATGGCACTGAAAAACCATTTCTACTTACTGGAGTAAGGAATAAGATTGGTGAGGCCAGAACTGTTCCCAGACTCAAACTGTTTATAGCAACGTGGATCAGGTATCAAAGGCGGGGTGTAAAAGTGCAATGAAAAGGCCAAAAATTTAAACCTTTGAGTAAAGTTCTGTATCGGGGCTATGATTTCTGCATACTCCAGTGGAATAATAGTATGCATTTATATGACTTCACTCGTATCTGTGCTAAAGAGACTAACATTTCTGAGTCATGTCTGTGAGCCTTTTGCCAAGTGGGCCAAGGCCTAAATAAGGATTAGGTGGAGGGAGTTAGGATTTACAGCCAGACTGCCTGTGAACCTTGATAGTTGCCAAGATAATTTGAAGATGTAAGTGAAATGTCTGGACCTGTTTAGGTGCCCGATGATGAGTTATGAGATTGGAATGTGTTCCTATACTTACTAAAGAGCCATAGGTAAGAGCACCAAACTCTTCACAAGTAGATCTGAAAATGATCATGTTACCAGTCCAAAATCACAAGGAAGTCTCAGAGGGCATGGGGGGAGGGAGGGAGTGCAGTCAAGAAGGACAGATGACAAAAGCAACATTGCACTGCCACAAGGCAAGTTCCTTCCTTTTGCGCTTGTATGATAATGCTGCACACACACACACATGAAAGGGGTAAAGTTCATATTGCAATGCTGGTTTTCAAAACTTTTGACTGTACTCCCTCCCTTCCCCTCCCCCCCCCCATGTATATGTCTCAGCTAGACACAACTATTGAAAGAGGAGTTTCTTATTGTATTGTACACATTCACCTGAAGCACAGAATGTTAAAAACATTATGTTAAAAACATTAACCAGGAAATACCTGATGTGGTCAGAAAGGAATGGATGCTGGATGTTTTAGGAATAAGTGGATTGAAATGGACCATTTTAAATCAAAGTATATGATATACCACTCAAGACCACATGTAGAAGAGGACTCCAATAAAGGACATCACACAGTATGGGCCTGGCTGAGCAATTTACAAGATTGTCTCTATTAAAAATAATGGATACCAGATTAATGTTAATAATGTTCATACAAAGATATGCACTAACTACAGACGCAACTATGGAAGAGGTTGGCTAATTCAGCTTTTATTTTGAAAAAAAATGGATTAATTAGAGAAAAAGATATTTCACAGACTATCTGAAATCAAAACAGTTGAAAATACTATGCTTTTCTTCTTTCAGGTCCAGGAATCTCATCATATGCTAATGCTGTGGAAAATGCCAGTGTCCCCCTAAAACACTGTATGGATTCAGCAAAGGAGATTGTGCCACACGGAAAACATCAGGAGACGCCTGTTTACCTAGGGGCAACAGCTGGCATGCGACTGCTGAGGTACTCTAGGAAAAGCAGCCTGCACTTTTTTTTTTATGTTTCATAGAAATGAGCTCAGAGAAAATAGGCTTTTAAATGTTTATTTGAATTGTACACGATAGGAATTTTTTATCAGTTTCCCATGAGATGCTTGCATTTCGCTAACCCACTATTTGTGTATTTAGTTACGTGTGAATGTATTTCAGTGTCCAATTATATAAATAAAAGGCAGTTCAGTTTAGGATATATTTCTGGATCTAGCACAACAATGTTGCATGCATTCCTGTTTCCCATATTCTTTCAGTTTCATCGGTTTTGTGGGATAGCTCACGAAAGCCAGTGAGGGTCGGAACAGAAGATATTTCTTATATTTAAACTGTGATATCTACAATTCTACCATAAGCCACTGCTAAATAAGGGTGTGCCATTGTTTGAGGCACCTGTTCCATGACCACCTGCCTTCTTTCTATGCCAGTGTTGCCAGAGTCAATAAAGGCCTTGGAGACAACCTTTTGGGGTGACTCCTACCTATAGCTCATATTCAGAAAACAGAGAATGGGCGTTGGTTCTTACCTGAGATGCCCTTTCTCAATATGGAGGAAACAGCAGTCAGGAATTGGTTAACTCTGTCTGTTAACTGATTGGACTGAGTCTGCAAAACTGTTAAGCCACGCCTCTTCCTGTTGCTTGCCAGCTTTTTGAAGAAGGAGTCGACGCAGACTGACATGTTGAACTGTGAAGACAAAAGAACAAATCCCTACCCTCCCATACCCCAGGGCCGGACGAAAGACACTGGGAGGGGCTGACTGCTGTTTCCTCCATATTGAGAAAGGGCGTCTCAGGTAAGAACCAACGCCCATTCTCCAGCAGGGAAGAAATAGCAGTCAGAAATGGGACATACCAAAGCTGCATGTCCTATTGGGAGGGTGAAGTCTGGGCCCCTGGGCCTTGATCTGAATGGACCCTCTGGAGAACCCATCTGCCAAAGGCAGCCTCAGCCGAAGCATAAGTATTTAGTTTGTAATGACGGACAAAAAGAGAAGAAGAAAACCAAGTGGCAGCTCTGCAAACCTCTTCCAGTGAAGCCTGGGTAGCCCAGGCCGCTGAAGTCACAGCGCTCCGAGTAGAATGGCCGGTGATGCGTCAAGGTACAGGGAGGGCCTGAGCCTCATATGCCTTAGAGATACATGCCCTGATCCATCTACCCAAAGTAGAGGAGGAAACCCTGCTACCAAGGGTAGCAGGCTGAAAAGAAACAAAAAGGGACTCTGTCCTCCGAAGAGAAGCAGTCCATTTGATATCGATTTGGAGATCCCTCTGCACGTCCAATGTATGCCAAATATGTTCCAAACGATGAGAAGGCTCAGGACAAAAATTGGGCAGAACTAGCTCCTGAGGCCTATGGAACCACATTTGACCTTGGGAAGGAATGTGGGATCGAGGCGTAAAACCACTCTGTCCATGTGGAAAACGCAGAGGTCTTCCCTGCTGGACAGAGCGGCCAGTTCAGAGATGCATCTAGCAGAGGTGATAGCCACCAAGAAAGCTACCTTATAGGAGAAAAACCTCAGACTAACTTCCCAAAGGGGTTAAAAGGGACCCTGAGTAAGGGCGTTTAAGACCTTGTTTAAGTCCCACGTTGGAAAGCGGTGAACCATGGGAGGCTGGAGATTAGATGCCCCCCTGAGGAACTGTCGCACTACTAGATGCTGCGACAGAGAGTCCCTGAATTCACAAGTCAGAATGGAAGAAAGGGCTGCTACTTGTCCCCGAAGAGTATTAGGAACCAACCCTGCATCTAAACCCTTTTGTAAAAAGTCCAAGATTTGAACCACCAAGATCTCCGTGGGAACAAGACCACCTTTCTTGCACCAGTTACAAAACGCTCTCCATGTAGCATTGTAGATACGGTTGGTGGAATCCCTGCGGGAAGCCTGAATCATAGCAATGATCCAGGCTTTTGCCTGCCACTGGTGGAGCCACAGGAGGCGATGAGCCATAATAGAAGACCCAATGGCTTTAGCCGCAAACCGAGAAGCAGTTAGCGTCCCGTCAGTGGAAAAGATCCTAGCTCCTGATGCCTATGAGCTCTAGAAAAATCAGAAGCCACAGTAGCAGAAATTTGTTGTAAACCTGCTTCAATGCCCTGACGTATGGCAGAAGAAATCAAAGTGGACAAATTGGCGGAATTTGAGGATCAGATGGCTGATCAGGCCTCAAGCCAGCAGAAGTGGACATGAAAGTTGTCTCAGCAGATGGAACCCTGTGTTGCATCTGATGTTCCCCATGGGTAACAGATGGCTCTAAGGCAGGCATTGCACCAAAAAGCAATTCATTGTTGCCAGGAGTGGCAGGAGCCTGCGCTGTGTCCCCATCTGGAGACCAAGCAGATGATGGAACCTCCTCTGGAATAGTAGGTAGTTCCATAATCTCCTTAGAAGATGTCTGGGGCCTAGGAATCTCCTTGCTCTGAGGGCACTTTCTCTTCTTTCCAGCCACCTGTTGGACCTTCTGTGTTGCCAGATCAACATCCATGTGTTTTTCCTTAGCTCCTCTTTTAGAAGCTTTAGAAGACTTAGTAGGTTGGGCATAAGGCTTCTTAGCTTTAGAGTGAGCCTTGCCCCACCTAGATTAAATGGAGCCTGAAGGTCCTTCCCGGGATCACTGTCCTGGTCAGTGATGGCTGACCTTGACCTGGATCGGGAATGCCCCTAGGCCGAAGAAGCCATCGTGGAACTCCTGTAATGAGAACATAGGTCTGATGAGACATGGTGGAAAAAACCACCAAGTTTATTAAGACCTGAGCGCAAGCTCTCACAAAGGCAACTAATGCCAGCCAATTAGGGTAGAAAAGCACGGTTGGGTAATCAACTCCCAACTGCTTCCCCTATATCCAGTCAGCGGAGGACTACTGATCTCCGGACCTTGTGTCTCGGTGCTAAGCACATGAATGCCTACCCAATCAAAGAATAAGGGACCCGTGAATTCTCTGCCAGGATTGGTCTTACCTGGACTGAAATAGCAGCCGAAGATCCTTGCCGCTGCTTTCAAACCCCAAAGGGGCTCTGAAAATGCCTGCTTTGACTCCGAAATGGTCGCAAAGCCTCAAAGTGGCTCCCAAAATGGCCACTGAGCCTCTATGTAGCTCCCAAAATGGCCACCGTGCCACCACAAGGCTCCAAAATGGCCACTGAGGCTTCACAAGGCTCCAAATTAGCCGCCGATCCTCTTCGCCGCTCTTACAAACTCTAAGGTCAGTGCTACAGAGCCCGGCTCGTGGGCACTGCCTTGAGCAGCTTCCCCTGGTGCCAATCCTGTGCACTCTCCAGGCAAGCGCTATGAAGCCAGACTCGTGGGCGTTGCCTTCGTTTTGCAGCAGGGCCGAAGCCTTGAGTCCCCTGCGGGTTAGCATTTCGAGGCAAAAGCGCGTGAGCGCCACCCAGAGGTCTATTTGCTGCTTCAAGACCTCTTGCCACCTCAGCAGCCTTCAGTGGGCTTGGGCTGAATCGCCCTTCACTCTGGAACCAAAACCAAGTTTTCCTGATATATATATAAAAAATGAATGAATGAATGAATGAAAAACCTTTTTCTGTAAGAAAAAGCAGCAAGAAATGGACAGCTCGAGGAAACACGTCTGCCCAGCTAGACAGAGTCTAAAAAGCTGGCAAGCAACAGGAAGAAGCGTGGTTTAACAGTTTTGCAGACTCAGTCCAACCAGTTAACAGACAGAGTTAACCCATTCCTGACTGCTGTTTCCTGCCTGGTGGAGAATTGCTTGTAAATTCTTTTCCATGTTACATTATTTTAAGAATACCATACAAAAGTAATCAGGAAAAGGCTGAACATTTTAATGGAACAATAGACTAGATGAGTCTTTCTGCTTCTCCCACCTTCTAAAAATTCATTTTGGGTAATAGGTATTTTATTCTCTCACCATTTTCAAGAAGAAAAAATATGAGAACCGTTCCTAAGGATCCTATATAATTCCCCCTTCTTTTTACATGCAGTTTGAAAAATAAGGATGCTGCTAAGAGGGTTCTCTCTGCAGTGGAGGAAACATTGCGTATATATCCCTTCAAATTCCAGGGTGCCAGGATTCTCAGTGGTGAAGAAGAAGGTGCTTATGGCTGGATCACCCTTAATTACTTACTGGGCAAATTTACAGAGGTAATATGACATGTCAGAAAAGCAAGTGATGACCAGGAATTCTCACTTGATTTGGTTTTCTAAGTCCTTTTGTTCTTAAATTCTATTCACAGCTGTAGGAGACTATCAAACATTAAAATGGAATATAATCTAATAAATCCCACAGGATTATGATAGGGTTGGAAGGGGATACTGACCCCAATCCCATACAATAGCGTGATTGTTAGAAGGCTTTCCACTTCAGCTTCAACTGATATAGCAAATGGGTGCCTAGAATTTAGTAATTTGTTCCATTGTTTATACCCTTACAAAGTTTTCATAACAATCCATTGGAATTTGCCGTCCTAAAACATAAGGACTTTATTCTAATTTCTTCATTCTGGGAAAATAGAGAAAAGATCATGACCATGTGGCTGACTGTGTGATATTGCTTTCATTTTTGTGTTGAGGTCTTATATCCTGTTGTAGTCCCTCAGGTCTGGCTGTTATATCTCTCAGTCTAACTCTCCAATTTGTTCTTCTTGCAGTCTATCTGGCCAAAAGTATTTGCCCATGCTTTCTTCAACAGTAGGACAACAGGAGCACTGGATCTTGGAGGAGCATCTACACAGATTACCTTTGTACCTGATCCAGATAAGATTGAATTACCAACAGATATAATAAATTTCCATCTCTATGGCAAGGAATACATGGTATATACACATAGCTTCTTATGTTATGGGAAGGACCAAGCTCTTCGACTCAAGCTGTTACAAGATGTTCTTGTAAGTAATGAGTATCAATCCTTTTCTTAGATGGTGCTTGATGAAACTGATACAGCCTGCTTATCCAATAGTTTGCTTCCTTTAATACAGATAGTCCTCGACTTAAAAACTACATTTGGGACCAGAATTTCCTATGCGATGTGGTTGTTAAAAGAATTGCACCCTACTTTACAACCTTTTTGCTCTGGTTGTTAAACAAATCACTGCAGTTGTTAAGCAAGTTTTGCTTACCCCATTGACTTTGCTTGTCAGAAGCTGGCTGGGAAGGTTGCAAATGGTGATCACATGTCCCCAGGACACTGCAACCATCATAAATATGTATCCATTGCCAAATTCCTGAATTTTGATCAGGTAACTGTGTGTAAGTCACTTTTTTCAGTGCCACTGTAACTTGGAACTGTCTCTAAATGAATGGTCAAGGACTGCATGTAATGCAATTATGTTGTAATTCCTGAGCCTTTATACAATGAGATTTTGACTGTTCTGGAAATTTCAATTTTATCCTCAGAAAATAAGACTTCTAAGGATAAATGGGAAACTTTGGCCAGTGAGCCAGCACTAGCCCATCAGATCAGAGAATCTAACTCACAAAAACCTCAGAATTCTGACCTTGCCAGTTGTACTCCCTCCCATAAGAGGTATCAACAGGATAGGATCCAATGAAAGCACATCGTTGTGATACAAACTTGATACTTGTAGGATTCACAATGTATTACAAATGGGGTAGAGCTTGTGTCACAATACAATTCTGCTTTTATAATTTGCCCCCTCTTGAGCCTCTCTGCAGATATCTTACCTTCTAACTAGTTGAAGCTAGCAAGATATGGCTGTACTTTAATAACTTTACTCTTTTCTCCTGTCAAACTGTGAAATAGAATATACCAGTGCATATTGTGTTACATACAATAACTGGGATTGTAAAAGCAAAGCATGCCTCAGCTGTGTCAGACAATATTCCTGCAGAACACTAGTTGTTTTGTGAATTGGAAAAAAAACTGGATAGCAACTTCTGCTGCTAATTATTCTCATATCTTTTTATTTGCACCATAATCACATTATACCACTAAAGCAGCTTTTCCTTGTCTGATGGCATCTAGCTATATTGATCTACAATATTCATCATCTCAGTCAGTAGTTGGATATGGAGAGTATGGGAATACACCCTACAGAATCAAGATTCAGAGGACTCAGCCAAAATTAATTGAACACAATTTATGTCCCTTTTTAGTTTTATTACTTGGCTCAGCTCAACAGTAATTTAAAGTAAAATTAAAGTAAAAGGCATAGAAGAACTTTGACTTTGAGATGCTTATTCTTAAATTAAGAGTTTATGCCTTCATCTCAGGCTAATATTGTATTGAATCTTGAGGATCATTTTCTTCATTTTTAATGTAATCCACTCAGAGTTGCCTAAAATGTGAGTTGGGTAGTAAATTTGATAAATAAGTAAATACATAAACAAAGAAACATTTGTAGGAACACTGCATGTGAGAATATATACACAGTGGATTGTAATAATTTTTCTTCCTAAAGCCATGGTTTATGATGTAATGTGATAAGTGAATGTACTGGAACTCATGTGATTGCTGATGAATTTTTAAACTTTTTTAGTCTTCAACAACTGACAGACTCCAGGATCCATGTTTCCACCAAGGATATGTGAGGACACTTAATGTTTTTGATCTGACCACAAATCCCTGCACAGCACGTAACATCACTGCACCGTATTCTCAGATCCAAATCCAAGGCGATGGGAATTATGAAAAATGCTTAGAAAGCATCCAGAAAATTTTTAATGCTGAAGACTGTCTTTACTCCAGCTGCTCATTCAATCGCATTTTCGTGCCTGAGGTGTCTGGAGAATTTGGGGTGAGTCTTTTTAACACATTGACAGCTTGGCAATGAACTAAAAGATTTCTGTAATGCTATTTCTTGTTTTAAAATTATTAATCCTATTATCTTCAGCAATAGTCTTCAGCCAGGTTTGAACTACAAAAATAGAAGCACTGACAAATCGATCTAATCAAATTACTGACGTAAATGGCATCTGTAACAAACTAAGGATATAAAAATGACCACAGGTGCATGTTGATTACATGTGATTACATACCGCTATCACAAAGGCTGGTGTTAGTTCATAAATCATGGCATTTGTGTGATGGCATCATTACACAAGTATTGTTATTTGCTCCTGCTTGACATTCCCCATTTGCAACTATGTATTTAGTCTAAACAGCTGCCTGTTCATTTAAGGCAGTGTTGCTCAGTTTTGGTGATTTGAAGATATGTGGACTTCAACTCTCTGACTGGTTGCGGAATTCTGGGAGTTGAATGACACTTCTTCAAGTTGCCAAAGTTGAGAAATATTGGTTTAAGGGAAATGTTAGTTTTAAAAAAGCTTCCTAACTCTTTTTTCCAGAGATCCATTCTTACAAAGGCACCATTTTATAGTAATGACTACATTTCCATAAACATTACTTTAGCAGACACTGTGCAGAGCCTGGCAGTTGTAGATGCAGCGCTATAGCATTTCCACTGGCAGGAAACATCCAAAACAAATTCCCAAAGGGAGGATTCCCTCAAGAGTCTATAGAAGGCATATTTGATTTCAGTTCCCAAAAATAAAGAGCTAGAATCTTGGTAGAGTCCCTTTCCCAGCTTCTGTCCTGTTGTAGCTTGAGCTAGCAGAGCTTTGGAAGTGGCGGATGATCTATCACTGTATTCTCTTTCATGAAATACCTGCTGTGCCTCCATTTTTTTATTGTTAACAAGTGATTTCTAGTTGCAAATAAAGTGCTATGTGTAGTTGACATGAAGCAATAGGAGAAGCCCCTGGGTTGTTGTTCTTCTTACATGTAGTATTGAATTGGAGCTCCCAGCCATGAACAGAAGCATAGCTTAGAGGTAGAGTCGCTGCCACTTTGCAGGTGGAAAGTCTCACATTCACTGTCTCTCATCTCTAATAAAAAGGCAGCAGTGATGTGGCTTAAGTCCCTGGAAACTGATGTAAGTCAGAATGATTGGCTAAAATAAAGTTGGATAGTTCGTTGTCCAGCATCTTATTTCTTATGTACACCAGATCCTCACCTATCATAATATGGTTTATTTTTTTGGACATAACATGTTATATCAATGTAGCAATTGTGTTTTGTTCACCCAGTTCACATTAGTATGCAGTTTCTAACCAATCATTGGTTAGACTAGACTAACCAACTAGACTATTCATCTAGTTGTAGACTAGATGAATAATTGGAACAGAAAACATCTCCTTTATGCTAAATATTGCTGGTAGCAATATTTTGTTTCCATTTATTTATAACATTTGTAGGGCACCCAATTTATTATGACTGAGTGGCTTATAAAAATACAACTATAAAAAAAAGTGTTTCTTTTTTTTTCTTTCTTGAATAATTTCATATTACTTGATCTTTAGGCATTTTCTGCTTTCTACTATGTAATGAATTTTCTAAATGTGACCGAAAAACCTATGGACCAAGTGATAGAAACAGTGAAGAACTTTTGCTCCAAACCCTGGAATGAGGTATGTCATTTTTTCAAACAAAAAGAGCATGGATCTTGACTCATACAACAAGTGGCCTCCAATTAGTACTAATTGTGTGAGATTAACTCAACTCAAAAATCAAAGCAGGGGAAGGGAAATACCTAAAATCCATTTACCCTACAAACGTAGAGTCCTCATGGCATGCAAAAAGGTTTTTCATTTGAAAACACACAGATGGATTGTGATAACTTCAAGGATTAATATTTATATGGAAAATAGAGTGCCTCAGTCTTTATAAAAGAGGAGGAAAGTCAAAGAAATAAACTTGTTTCCTTTCTCTCTGTCTAGGTGAAAGTCGAATTTCCTAAGGTAAAAGAGAAGTACTTGAGCGAGTACTGTTTCTCAAGTACATATATTATCTCCCTGCTCGGCCAGAGATACAACTTCACTAAGGAAAAATGGCAGAATATCCACTTCCTGGAGAAGGTATTTTGTAACATTCAGAGGTGGAAATTAAGGAGTGGTGGTGGAGATTTATTTTAGAAGCTCCCAAAAACTTTACACTAACATCTAAAATTAATCATTTGGATAAAAAACTTTTACACTAAGAATATATGGAAAAAACCAAAGACAAGTGGAAGCCACAAATAAAAATGTCTTCATAAATCTGCAAAAGACATCCAGAGATAAGGCTATTCACATTTCATAGGACAAGGCAATTTACAGTGTTGGTGCAGCAATTGAAAAGCCTTATCCCTTACTGTGTCTCACTCAAATGTGATACAGTTTCTAGTATTTTATGAAGCAGGTAGATCAATATGGAAGGAAGTTAAGTGCAATATCATGAGCACAAAGCATTAGGAACTTGGAAGGCCGGGAGTAACTCTTTGAATGGATTCACACAACACGTTTATCTTGGCTGTTGAATTTTCTGGAAATTTTCTGAATGTTCATAATTATGGAATCATAAGCTAACTAAAAAGGCCATCTTGGCCCTTATGTAATTTCACAAAAAAGTAAACAAGCTTAAAACCAACACTCTTAGCAGATTGCGTGAATTCAGCTGCTGAACCTTTCACTGACTTGATTAAACTTATTATGCAAACCTAGTCACTGAATTGTTGGAGAATGTTGCATGTGAGCCAGTTTGTTCTAGTGGTTAAGGCTCCAGACTCAAAACCAGGAGACTATGAGTTCCAGTCCCATCTTATGCATGAAAGCTGACTGGGTGACCTTAAACCGATCACTCGCATCCCAACTCACCTTACAGGGTTGTTGTTCTGGGAAAAATAGGAGGAGCAAGGAGTATTAGATATGTTCATGCTTTGAGTTGTTTATAAAAATAATAAAGACGGAATATAAATAATAAATCAATCAATTTTAAAAATGCAGGGTTTGCACCACTTTTCTTGGAGTTGTTTGATATTTCATTGAGTGATTTTTCTTGTCTCCTTCATTTCAGGTTCAAAACAGTGATGCAGGATGGACACTGGGCTATATGCTAAACCTTACCAACATGATCCCGGCAGAGCAGCCCTACACACACCTCTTGTCTCACGCAGGTTTTATCAGCTTCATGGTCGTCTGCTCTGCTCTAGTGATGACTCTGTTCTTAGTAGGCTCAATTATATATCACAAACCAAAGTGCCTGAGAAAGGAAATAATTTAGGATGCAGAAGGAAATTTGACACATCTATGGAAACACTGTGGTTAAGATCAGGGGTTGTACTTTCCTACTCTGCTCTGCTGAAATATCTAGTTTATATGAGAGCTTTCTGGACCATTTGCTCTGGCACCAACAGATGCCAAAACAACAGCATGCTACCATTCTATTCATCTCCCTCAGATTGAAGATTCACTTCTCATCCTACTCTAATTGAGGGTTGATAAATTCTTGCATGTTGTATTAAAACAAACCCCACTTCTCTCAGGAATGCCACTTCAATCATACGTTGCTTTGGTCCTGGAAATACAGCACAGGGACATCCAGTTAGATGGGCTGAACACTGCAAGGACTAACTTATACCGTTAGCTGCAGCTGCTCTTCGATCGTGAAAGAAGAATGAATCTTCTTTCATTCTACTGGAAAAAAACACAAGCATTCAGAAATACCATCTACCACCCAATTGCCGTTTTGAAGTAGTCCTTAATCAGATTTGTGATAGTATTTGTATTATTTCATTGTAGTAGTATTTGTAATAATTCGTCTATGAAAGAGGTTGAAAGTGAAAACCTTTGACAATAGCTTATCAATTGCTGGGAGAAGAAGGGAAGAGTACTCTCTACTAAAAGCTAAGGAACAAAATGCAGCTTATGAATTTGCAGCTTGACCAGAAAAAGGAACAGTAAATTATTCCTGATGTGTAACAGTTGGTACCTGAGTAACACGCCTTGCACTGATGAACTGTTTATGAAGTGTTTGGATTCACTGTCAGCTGCCTTATGTAAGTTATATAGTTCTTGGGCACTGAGGTTTGATTTCACACTGTATATTATCAAAATCCATTGGTATTATTATTATTATTCAAAAACTATACTGGGGAAGAGGGAAACAATCCCTTCGCAACCGAATTCACATGCTTGCAATGCAAACGTTCTTAAGGGTGGGACCTGTGGAAGGAGAATTCCTTCTTACAAGCACCAAAGGAATGTTCCTAGGGGGGAAAAAACTACCTTGCACTGAGGTTTTACTGTAAATTAGGAATACAGGTAGTCCTCGATTTACAACAATTCGTTTTTAGTGACTATTCAAACTTACAACGGCATTAAAAAAAGTAACCTATGACCATTTTTTCACACTTACGACCATTGTACCATCCCTATGATCACATGATCAAAATTCAGACACTTGGCAACTGGTTCATATTTATGATGGTTGCAGGGTTCCTGGTTCATGCAATCAACTTTTGCAACCTTCCGGACAAGCAAAGTCAATGAGGAAGCCAAAGTCACTTAACAACTGTGTTTCTAACTTAACAACTGCAATGATTCACTTAACAACTGTGGCAAGAAAGTTTGTAAAATGGGGCAAAACTCACTTAACAAATATCTCACTTAGTAACCTAAATTTTGGGCTCAATCGTGGTCGTAAGTCAAGGACTACCTGTATAGTCAAAACATTTCCAGCATTCCTATAACAAATGAGCCAGCCTGTTAATCTAGTCTGTCTGCTGATTAGCAAACCTTAGTTATCCTCTGGTAACATTATTGATCCAGCAACATTTGAAAAGATCTTCAATCAGCAGCCAACCTACCTGTACATCTGTGCCAGTCTTGCTATTTGCTTCAGGATAGAAACGTTCCTGCCAATCTCAACTCCTCTGGAGAATCAGACCAATGGAATAAGCCTGTTATCCATCAATAATCATGGCTTTAGTTAGGGAAGAGTCATGCAGACAGAGGTGATATACTAGGGGGGAAAAGTAAAAGCCAGTTTGGCCTAGTGGTTAAGACATCAGGCTAGAAAATAGAAGACCATGAGTTCAAGTCTCACCTTAGCCATGAAAGCCAGCTTGCTGACTTTGGGCCAGTCACTCTCTCTCAGCCCAACCTGCTTCACAGGATTGTTGTTATATGGAAAATAGGAGGAGGAAGCTGTGTTTTATATGTTTGCAACCTTGAGTTATTTGTAAAAATAATAAAGGTGGGATATTAATTAAATAAATGCATAGATATGATCAATCAGATTTTTCACCCACCAGCTTTCCAGTTTTCAGATTAGATTGATCTCGCGTTGCATATTACAGTAGATCAAATCTGAGAGTTTAAATGGTAGAATCACATGGTGGAAAATATGGGCAGCTAATCACAGATCCAGAGGCTGACAGTTGATCTGGTAGGCGTCTGATACCAGCATTGAAGGAACTAGGATAAATAAAGGAAATGTTCGTGCTGTTTGGCTAATTTAAGGAATCTGCTTTTATTTAATCCATAATTATAGAAATATAAAAATAGAATATAGAAACATTGTTTAACATAACAAAGAAGTGATTCACGTATGTTAAGCATTGATCCATTTGGCACACACTTTTCTTAAACTATATATATATATATATATATAGCTTATTTGTTCATTTCTTAGTTATAAACCATGTTTATAATCTACAGTGTCTGAGTTGACACATTGTACTAAGTCATAACATGGTACATTTTGTCTTTGTACAATGTATAACTCTAAAATTAGCAAGAATTTTAATGACCCTTCTTATTTAACACAGAATGTTTTTCAACAATGTGGTTCCCACCTCAGGAATTTTATTTCAAACAAGTATACTTTTGACAAATAATGACATGGATTACCCTTTAAAACAGTTTGCAAAGACATGAAAGAGGATAATATTTAAAATCTGATGAATAGAAGTAATAGTATGCTTCAATAGAACTTGAATGAGAATTCTGAATCAGAGTATGAAACATACTCATGCCATACTCATATCATATTCATACCCGGTATGTATTGACTACATTTATGTGTCAGAATTGTTGGGAATCTTGTCTTAGTGAGAACAAGCATTACAGCATATACTATGCCACATATTCACATGTCAATTACTCAAAATAAAGCATTCATTTTGCACTAATTTTTCAAAAGCTTTTTTACTAGTCACCAAATGCATTCATGTTAGTGAAGTGGTTTTCTAGATGAGTTGTATTTAAACTCACTCATCTTTGCACATTCAGAACCTTCCTTAGTCCAAATATAGAATAAATGAATAAAAATAAATAATAATATTCTACGTACTTCCCAGCTACTTTGGAATTTTAATAGGGGGAAAAATCAGTTGACATTCTTTCAGTATTTTTCTGCCTTACTGATTGGAGTGAGACAATCACTAGAAAAAGTGACAATCTCTTTATTCTGCCAGTCTGATATTATTCAGATGTGCTGGGCTACCATCTCCATCATCCCCAGCTAGCATGTCCAATCCTCTTGTTGAAAAGATGGTGGCACTGATAGTCCTACATTCCTGGAAGGCCCCATGATTGGGGAAAGCTTGTCTACCTCTTTATATTGATCCTAGTTAATAGGTGTCTGTTATTCTTTTATGATTTAATCTGTCCAAATTACACAATGCATTAGGTCCCTTATCCTGTTACTGGGGTTGCTGCTGAATTCATACTCTTTAAGAGGCTGATTTGCAAGAATCCCAACTGTAGGCATATGGTGGGAAGGGAATTAAGAGCAAGGAATGTATAGTATATTATTAAACATCTGTTAGTAGCCCTTCTTGGCCTCGGGCTTGGAGGAAGAATAATTCAGGACCGGTGATGCTGGGATGCTGTCACATAATTCCTGAAAATAGTTTAAACCTTGTCTTTCCTGTCCAAATGAAACAAATATTCACTTTATACATGTGTACATCTCTGTATTTATATGGCATATTAAAAATGCTTTGATTAATGTCATTGGTGTTTGTCCATTATTTCTCAAATGAAGGAACAGAACAGCATGGCAAAAGAAACAATTTTCTCAACTAACATTCAGCATCTTCCTAGTTAGATAAGGGTCAATGGCACTACTTCTCTTGTGGCTATGTAGGGATTCTAGGCTAACTCCCCTTTTCACTCCACCTGCAGGTTCCCTTCTCCTATACAATTTGACCCAGAAGGTAAGAGCAAAAATGCCCAAACGGGGGATTCCAGCAGTTTCACTGGTTACAGTTTAAAATCTCACTGATGCATTCCAGAAGCTCAAGTTGAATGAGACTGTCTTAGCAAAATTCCTGCTCATTTCTCTGAAACACAAGAGCTATGGGAATTGTTCTGCTTAATTAAGGGGAGAATTGGGAGAGATCAGCCCTCATATGCAGAAAGGCAGTATTTAGATGATAAAACAAAATATTCCATACTGCAGGTATCAAAAATCACAGATTTAATACTCTGGAAAGAAAACTCTTCAAGAAAAAGTTAAATACAGCAAAGGAGACGAAGGATTTACTAACTCTTTCCCAGTAGATTTATTGTTAATAATCTGAGATAAGAGAACAATTGAAAATTCCAGTAATATTTATATTTATTTCTTCAGAATCCTTATGTCTCATTTTCTTGCCATATGTAACTCAAACCTTAACTGTTCATTTATTCTGCATTTTGTTCAACATCACTGATTCAGCTATCTTCTTTTACCCCTTAGGCAGAAACTTGAGTCAAAATAGGGATGGACCAGAGCTGAACAAATGGATGTCTCCCTATAATTTATTTTATTTAGACAAATTGCACATTCTTTTCAGATGCTAAAACTGAATGCAAACAAAAGACTGCTAGAGTGCATGCTGCACCTGGCTTAAAACATGGCCAACCACAAACCTTCATTTGTGTCCAGTTTTGATTGTCAAGATAGCTCTCAGGCCTTTTATGAATATTTATGACTATCATATCTGAGCTGAGACATTTCTGCACCTCTTTGCTGCTATCAAACTATCTTCCAGATTTTTCAGTTCAGATATAGGCCTATTTATAATGTAATTTGAAAAAGGAACCATAGTGAAACTGGGCTTTAGGTCCTGAGCAAAATTGAGCATAGGACTAAGAGCTGAGCCAATTTCATGCCTCACCATTTGCAGTGCCCTTTGTCCCAGATAACATTTACTATGCAACGCACTCTGTTTATTTTAAAGCATTGATTCTTTTATAGGATACAAACACTTTATGGAAATTTATAATATAAAAGTATTTTCGGTTCCAATGGCAGTTTTTAAAACAGCTGCCAGACCCCAGATCTGTTCTAGAATCAGAGAATATGTTCTGACTACGTCTAACTTCCGAATATAGGGGGACCATAGAAAAGAAGAAGCATGTTGTACATGTTCAGAGATGCTTGCTTTGTTACAATTGTGTATGTAAGAGCTTTGGCTTGTGGCTGAAAATGTGCTTCTTGAAATCTAGTGAGTCTTCCTGAATATCTTTTCCTGTCGGAGAGATTTTGATCAGGTCTCTGTCCTACCATGAAGAGCCAGGAGATTTCAGATGCCTGTTTACCCTTCAGTTAATAAATGAACAGAAATCAACACAACTTTCTAAACGTGCAGAGGTTTTGAATAATTCTGGCTCTAAAAGCTCTGTGGCGTATGTGTGTACTAGAGCACAAGGGGAAGAACTCAGCATTAAAAATTCTTCCCTCGCTGTAAGGGGCATTCATTGAGATGCTCCTCCCACCACTGTCTCCACCACAGGTGGAGTGGGCTGGCACTTGACTGTAAAACTGGAGAGAACCGGGTTGAGTTTGCATTTTAGTTGCTGTCAAAAAGCAAGCTTGGAGAGCTATCGTCTCCTGCAAAAAGCTGCTTGCCATCCAGAGAAAGATGTATCAGTGGCTTTGGCTCCTTGGAAAAGTTCTGCTCTTGGTGAGAGTGGCTGCCTCAATTAACTATGTCCATCACCGCTATGAGGAATTGGTGCAGGCGCTGTTCGATGTAAGGGGGTCATGCCCCTATGTTACCAGGCTGTACAGCATTGGGCACAGTGTGCAGGGCCGCAACCTCTATGTGCTGGAATTCAGCGACTCTCCTGGCATCCATGAGCCCAGTAAGTGTGCCCAAGAGTTATACCTGTATAGTTGAAGAGATACTTCTTTCTGCTCTGCTTGATCAATGCACAATTGGGTTCAGTGTGGTGCTGGAATCTCTGTGCCTAATGGAATCAAGCCAGGGCCACGGTATTCCTAGCAGAAAGTTTGGTCAAGTCAAGGGGAAGGGGGAAGGCTGTGCAGAACAGAACCAGTGTTTGGATTGACATTGACTTGTTTAATTAATAGCATGGTTTTAAAAATGTATTAAGCCTCATGACACGTTAGTGGGTTTATTTCATTTCATGTGAAGGTCTGAGATATATGTACTAGCAACCATCTGGGGCTTGTAATTAAGGTAAAGTTTAATCCCAAATCCAGAGATTCAACTCCAGCTCTCTTTTTTAATGCTGTACTTTAATTCTACAAAATAATGCAGCTAATTGGACAAAATTAATATTAAACTTGGAAGATGACAAAACCTTTACTTCTCCCTACACTATCTCTCTCTGCCTTAACACTCATAACTATGTTGTTGCAAATTATAGCTTTGATAGACTACACTTTTGAATAAGTGGGGCAGAGCCTGACAAAGAGAGGGAAATACAGGCGCCAGACTCATAATTATGCAGCAAGAATTCTGAGACCAAAGATCATGCGTTGAAGCCCTTGCTATACCTTTAACAGCTAAAGCAAAGAGGTTTTTCATTAGAAGTATTCTGGTTAATGAGTACCTTCCCCAAAGTAGTGTACTTAGGAATTACAGAAGCTGAAGTTCAACATATCTGGGGGATACCAGACTGGAAGAGACTAGTCTACTCCTAACTATTATCCAGTAGATGTTAGGCAAAAATATTTTTATTCAACTAGGCATTGTAGAATTATTCAGCAGTTACATTAAGCATAAGAGCAGATAATTAAAATTCTTTAGACAATCCTTTTACTTCTACCTTTTTATTTTTATGACATGTTATGGTCTTTTTTACTTGTATACCCCAAAACCAAATTAAAAGAGCAGTATTTGTGTTTTAGTAATTTAGTAAATGTTCATTTCTCTGATGTGCCAAGTTCAGCATTTACAAGTATGATATCCATCGTGTTATGTATTAATCCTACAAGATAGATAACACTAATAAATAACTAGTAAGGTTTCTTACCACCAAGATTAGCAGGTAAGCCATTATAATTCATGAAAAGAAATCCCATAGACCAGCTGGTTCCAAGATTTTTAAGGATATAAGAAGAGGAACACAGAACTGATGAATGGATAAGAAATGGATAGGGAAAAAGAGGCTGGGATCAGCTGCAAGTTTGGTCAAGGGATGTCTATTATGTATACATGGATTCTTCCCCACTTTATAATCTACACAAACATTTTTATTCTTTTGTGCATAAAGTAGGACTATCTATATTTGCAGATATACTGCCTACAATTCTAGAGACTTCTGTACATAATTAATAGCCTTCTTCCTGTAGAATGGCCCTCTCAGAGCCTAATAATTGTTTTTATGCATCCTGCAGAGTACACGTAGAGAAAAGGGGGCCATCTATGGGGGAAACAGTTTTACATAAATGAATTTGAGGCTAAATCATGCTGATTTTATTTTGCAATTTACTTTAACCCCCATTAAGCTTTAGAAGGCTGGAATGTGACATTCTAGGAGATAAGCTGAAGGGGAACGGTGGAAGGGACCTTTAGATGCACTGTATGAAATAAGGAAATAGAGACCCTGATTATGTGGTTGTGACTGTGCCCTACTTTCAATTCTCCACTGCAGGAAAAGATTTGCCCCCAGGATACATACCATTCTCATACAATGCACTGCTTCTTCCCATTTTCTCCAAGCACTGATCCCTGTCCATTGCCCCATACTTTTAAGTTCTGTATGAGAGACAGCAATTGACCTCTCTTCGTTTGACAGTGAACATGTGGCCGGAAGAAGCACATAGCCTCACAATGAGCTTCTTTCCACAATACAAAAGGCCACAGCTATAGTTTCATCATCACAGAATGCCATTTGGGAATCTATGCTGCTTCCCCCTCCTGCTTGACCTCAATGTTTATGCATCAGCACCCAGTTGTGTTGAGTCTATCTACTCTGTTACAATGTCAGCAAATTTCTCCCTTTCTCAGTGGAGCCAGAATTCAAGTATGTGGCAAACATGCATGGGAATGAGGTACTAGGCCGGGAACTGTTGCTCCAGCTTGCGGATTTCCTGTGTGAAGAGTATCGCCATGGTAATCCGCGCATTACACAGCTCATCCATGAAACACGCATTCACCTCTTACCTTCGATGAATCCTGATGGATATGAAGTGGCAGCTGCCCAGGTACTAGGCAAGCATTCCTTTTATATTTCAATTGTCATGGTAATACCAAAAGTTTGTTTTAAGGCAGCCAAGGGAGAGAGGAATGGCATTACTGAATGTGTTGGAAGTACAATTTTCAGAATGTTTAGTTAGTTCCAGCACTTTTGGAGATATCAAATTTGGGCAAGCCAAAGTCACAGACTCTAAATCAAACTTTATGCATTGCAGCAGCTGAATTAAACTTCTATGTCAAAAGGCAATACATCTTAAGAATAGACTCAGGTGACTGCTACAGAATATTGTGTAAATTTATCATGATTGCTTGTTTGTGATCTTCCAGAGACATATAGCTTGCCGCTATTAAGAATTTATAAGTGAGAGAGTTGGATCTTAATCTGATTTAGAAGGCAACATATTGCAATACTATGTAGTAAAAAGTAGAACATACGCTTTGAATGCAGAAAATCTTTTGGTATCTACTGGTAAAAAAAGTAGGGCTTATGCCAGTCAATGTCAACAATACTAGCTAAACAATAAAATAAAGTAATTCTCTGTGTTCCCTGTGGTCACTTTCGGTCATGGATGCTAAGCT